AATGATTAATATGAATATTGTATAAGCCACAATATATACTACAAAATTAAGAATTTGGAAAGTGAAATACAGATGTTAAAACAGGCTAAAAAGAAAACTCCTTTTTATCTTGACAAGAAAAAAAGGAGTAACTTATTTGCCATCTTATTACAAATGCATGTATAAGTGGATCTGGGTAAGATACCTCATATCCATGACTCAAAACCTTTACTGATAAAGGAAATTTAAAAGTTTTGAAGGATGATTAAAAATTATTCCAAGAGGTGAAAACATGAAAATAGGCAGCAATCTAAGTAACAGACGTAATTTGAGTAACGAAAAATGAGTCAATATGGCATAGAAGAACTGAGGTGGTACAGGGTTAAGGAAATGAAAAAGGACACTGAGGGGTATTCATTAAGCTTCCTCCTCTGTTTCAGCGCGCAATGTCTACCAGAGGAAGCAGAACTGTGGTCAGCTTTACTCACATAGAACAATACAGAGAAAAGGGCTTGGGAAAGGAAAAGCTCAGTAAAGTACAAATGTTAGGCACTCAAAATAAAAAAACAAAACAGGCACTCAAAGGTTTCAGAAGATGGTCTCACATGATTGAGGTTCTAATCCTAAAAGCTAACTGAACACCTAAGTTCACCAGTTGTAACAAAATAACCACTCTGGTGGGAGAAGCTGACAAGAGTAAAAGGGCAGCATATGGGAAACCTCTACACCACTCCAGTTTGCTGTGAAACTAAAAGTGCTGTAAAAACTAAAGTCTAAAGCTAATGGAGGAGGTGTGTTATTAAGACAAGGATATAAGCAAAGTTGGACTAGCCAAGTTCAGTTCAGTCGCTCAGTCATGTCTGACTTTGCAACTCCATGAATCGCAGCATGCCAGGCCTCCCTGTCCATCACCAACTCCCGGAGTTTACTCAAACTCATGCCCATCGAGTCGGTGATGCCATCCAGCCATCTCATCCTCTGTCGTCCCCTTCTCCTCCTGCCCTCAATCCCTCCCAGCATCAGGGCCTTTTCCAACGAGTCAACTCTTCGCATGAGGTGGCCAAAGTATTGGAGTTTCAGCTTCACTATCAGTCCTTCCAATGAACACCCAGGACTGACTTCCTTTAGGATGGACTGGTTGGATCTCCTTGCAGTCCAAGGGACTCTCAAGAGTCTTCTCCAACACCACTGTTCAAAAGCATCAATTTTTTGGCACTCAGCTTTCTTCACAGTCCAACTCTCACATCCATACATGACCACTGGAAAAACCATAGCCTTGACTAGACAGACCTTTGTTGGCAAAGTAATGTCTCTGCTTTTTAATATGCTATCTAGGTTGGTCATAACTTTCCTTCCAAGGAGTAAGCGTCTTTTAATTTCATGTCTGCAGTCACCATCTGCAGTGATTTTGGAGCCCCAAAAAATAAAGTCTGACTGTTTCCACTGTCTCCCCATCTATTTCCCATGAGGTGATGGGACCAGATGTCATGATTTTAAAGTTACTGATAAAAAGGGAAGAAGAAAAATAACACAATAAAGAAGGAAGAAGCAAATATAGGCTACCAAAAATATGATAAAGATAATATTAAAGAGTCTTAGAGGACTACAGATTTCAGTTTGTGATTCAGTTTGGTCAGGGAAAAGAACTGACCACGTATGCCAATGACATACAAATTATAAAAATGGAAGTTATGACAGTATGGGGAAAATGCTCTGTAATGTCAATGACACAACAAAGTTCAAGCCAAAAGAATCAATATTCGAACTGGGGGAGACACACAACATATTTACTATTTCTCTTCACTTCATGTCTTCTGGAAATATGACGATTAAATCCTGTGAGTATTTTTTCTATATCCTCCTTAAAAACAAAAACTTTCAAGAGGACATGCTTCTAAAACGTTTTAAGTTTGGACAACATCAAAATATTAACCAGCATCCTCTGAATATAATTCCTTAACCAATGACTAATGTACCTAACAACCTTTCTTTGTATTTCTTCACCTTACATTGTCTAATTGAGACCCCCCAGCAACCGTATCCTTGTTGTTGTTCAGTGGTTTAGTGGTGTCCAACTCTTTGCAACCCCATGGATGCCAGGCTTCCCTGTGCTACACCATCTCCCAGAGCCTCCTCAAATTCATGTCTATTGAGTCAGTGATACCATCCAACCATCTCATCCTCTGTTGTCCCCTTCTCCTCCTGCCTTCAATCTTTCCCAGCATCGGGGTCTTTTCCATTGAGTCGGCTCTTCGCATCAGGGGGCCAAAGTATTGGAGTTTCAGCATCAGTCCTTCCAAAGAATATTCAGAATTTATTCCCTTTAGGATTGACTGGTTTGATCTTGCAGTTCAAGGGATTCTCAAAGAGTCTTCCCCAGCACCACAGTTCAAAAGCATCAATTCTTCATCACTCAGCCTTCCTTATGGTTCAACTCTCACTGCTATACACAACTACTGGAAAAACCATAGCTTTGACTAGATGGACCTTTGTCAGCAAAGTAATGTCTCTGCTTTTTAATGTGCTGTCTAGGTTAGTCAAAGCTTTTCTTTCAAGGGGCAAGCATCTTTTAATTTCATGGCTGTATGAAATTATAAGATGTATCCTACTGGTTTGTATACTCTACTAGGTATCTAAGTAAAATTTTCACAATGCCTCTAGACCAACAGAAATACCTAGCAGTTCCAGTCAATGACTAGTTAGGTCAATGCTGCTAACACTATGGTCTACACTTTGACAGATACAGCTGTGTGTCCCTCAAAACTGAGAAATCTCCAAAGCACTGTGATGCTACAGGTTGCTTCAGCATAGTTTGAGAACCACAGTTCCAGTCTATAACTCTAAGAAGAAACAAAGACTGTATCTGACAGAATCTATTCTCTGTGAATTTATACTGCACTGCAGTGATGACTGTTTCCTTTAGGGATGTTTGCAGGCTCTATCTGTAGTCTTGCCTATAATCAACATGGAGAAAACTAGTTTAATTTATAGAATCTTCCTCTTGAAAATTATATGATACTTAATGATCTCCAGTTATTTTTTACCAATTCTTTCATGTTCTCAGAAAAAAATAAGACAAAATTCAATGAGTATACACGAAAGTTCATTCAGTATTTGAGATCATGGATAATCATTAAAGTATCCATTATTTAGAAATTTTACAACCAAGGAAATCAATAACTGTTTCACCTGTTCACTAGTAGTATCTCAAGAAGCTGAGAAGTCCCTTGAACACAACAGTGTTCAAGGAGCTGAACTCTACATGGAGACACACTTAGTGTAAATTCTACCTCCACTGCTTACTCGTGGCCTGAGCATGCACAAGTTTTAAATCTCTGCAGGTCCTAGTTTCTTCATTTTGATTAAAAGAATAATACCTAATTAAAAGGGATGCTGTGGTGAATAAATATAACTTGATTTATAGTAAGTGTTCAATAAATAATATCTATCATCTATAAAGACAGGTTCAAAGCAATATAAGAAAATGTATACCATGTGTCTGAGTAATGCTAAGCCCACCAAGTTGGCAGAAAGGAAATGGTAGAGGATCTCCACAGCCACAGATGGTTTAAAAGCTGAAAATTAAAATAATGAAACTCAAATAAAGCCTGAATGGAAGCTGTGTTCCAGCGGCAGAAGTAACTGAGATATACAGCCATTGAAGACAATTTGAAACTCAAGTGTAAATATATGTAAATATTTCAAGATTATATGGGAGCCTGATGCACATGCAATAATCCAGTCCCTTCCTTGCCACTCCAACTGTGACGAATCAAGAAATGTGCTGGAAGATGAACAGTGTGAAGAAGCATAACACAACTTTCCCTATTTTCTTTTACACTATACACATTTATTTTAGGAGATTTGATTAAAATTAAAACAAAGCCATACAAATTATATACTAGAAAGACCAATAATACCCCAGGATAAAAACCTCACACAAAATCTTCATTACTATTTTGTAAAAAATATGCACATGTGTAAGTCTGTAGCATTCTTTTCTCAAAAAATGTGACGTATCTACAACTAGCTTAATACTTCAGCTTATGGTACATAATTCATAATAGTAATTCATATGAACCTCAGTTATTTATCTCTGCTCAATTACCTTTTAATAATCTTTTATAACTGGGAGAACCATAAAGATTTTTATCACAAAAAAATTCTCTGTAAAAATGACAAATTAAATTTTCATAAAATGATATCTGTTGTTCCTTTACCAGAATATTTTTATAGAAGAAAATCTAAAAAGTTGAATATGCATACTTTTTAAAAAAGGAACTTTACAAATTAAAACTTGAGTGCCACCAGATTAATTTTATGGAGAAAAAGGAAAAACCTAGTGAACAGGATCACAGTGAGTCATCAACCAAAGATGAACGTGAAGAGAAAACGACAATGAGAAAAGTGGGGCTCCAAGTGATGTGGAAAAGGAAGACCCAAAACATGCGCTTGAGTTCTACATAGAGTACAATTCCATTTAAAATATATTATGATTTATTTAAAGCACATAGATAAAGTTATTACAACCATATGTGGTTTAAAGTTATCACATGTTCCTTTAAATAATATGTTCAGCCCATAACATAAATAAGCATAACATAAGCCATAAATTAGGCCTAAGTGAAGAGCTACATGTTTGTCACATGTAATCAAGGGCCAAATTTGCACAGAAGAAAATAACTGTATTCAGATGGCAAAAAACTGTCTATGTATAATGGAGAAAACAGCCAGGGAAGTGGTGTTATTTGGCTGTACACGAAAAAAGACAAAATTATACCAAAGGGTGAATTTATGGATCATTACACTCCAACACATTGATACTGACTTGTTTAGACACCACCTTTAAACCTTTTCAAGTTTTCCAAGAGCATCATTATCAGAGGGGTGGTGGTGATCTGTAGCCCTTTGGGAAATCCTAGAGGTACTCCAGGTGGGATTCCTCTGTCAATAAATACACACAATGACTTCCACTACTCCCTCTAAAGCAAAGCACAGTGACTTTTGCAGAACAACCATACCTTTCTGGAAGCCTCTGGCCATGTATTTCTCCTTTCCATTTAGCTTCATTATCTTCTGCTCTTTGTTGCTGCATTTGATCAAAAATAGCGTGATAATGTTCATACTGTCCTCGAGAGGAAAAAGATGATGGAGCCATGGCCCCTCCACTGCCCACAAAGGGAGCCTAGGAATCAAACAAAAAGCTCTCACATGCTTATCTCACAAGGCCTCAAAGGTCTGTACTACCTTCAAAAGAAGAAAGTGAACCTCAACACTTGCCTCTTACGAAGCAATTATCTAATTTAACATACTAATAAACACAGGGCCTAGAGCAAAATGTTTTCCTATTATATTATAACCATTAACAATCAAAAGTAGTATATCTTGTTACAAACAATAAAGCATAATTCAATATAACAAAAACATAAAATATCACTAAATTTATTTAACGGTGGGGAAAAAAACTGGTCTTAACAAGTTTTGCAACAAGTTTCTTATATATTTTATGTGATCCCATCCTATTAAGTTTAAATATGTATAGTTTATACATAAAACAGAGCCTGCTTTTGTAACACTCAAAATTATACCTAACAAAACATACAGCAATTAACATACCCCAAATCCAATTCAACAAGCAATGAAGATATAAAAACCACTGGAATACAAAGAAGCAAAACAATATATCCATCCTTAAGCAGTTTACAAACAAACTGGGAAACAAAGTATAAAGCTAGAAAAACATTTCATTTCCAAATGAATGGCAACAGACCCTTGCCACAGTCGTACATACTGAGCAAATTTACAAAACAGAAAAAAAAGGAGAAATAAAAATACTTTAAAAAAAGTCACTGGAGAAAAACACTCAACCCAGCCTTTAACACAAGGTAACACAGACAGATTAAATGATTAAATATGATCCATGGTATTAAAGTAAAAAAAAAAAAAGCACCAGAAGGTATACATTTGGATGTTGGCAGCAGGGAGAGAAAGGACGTATGAAGATGACGGTAACTATGAGGAAGGCAAACAGGGAGTGTTACACTTGGTCAGAAAAGGTCCTTACAGGTAACTGACCAACCAGGTGTGACCAACCACATAATCAATAACAGAAAGCACACTTTCTATACTTTCTAGCAGGAAAAGTGCACTGAGACCATTTTTAAGCAGGTAAGTCAAATTACACATGATAAACAAGAATAAGAGAGAGAACAAGGCAGAGAAACTGAGTGAAAGGCTGCTGCACTGACACCAAGTCAAGCAGCCTGTGAGTAAAGAAAGGCAATCAGAGAAAAAGCCAGCAGTACAGGGAACTGGTTCTCTGCAGGGGTAACACAGGAAGAGGGTGAAGGTGCAGGATGCAGCCTCAGAGACACATGTACTCAAACACATGGAAAACTCACAGAAAACAGGTCAGAAAGATGAGAGCTGAGTGAGTGCACAATGATACAGAGGCTCAGGGTGCAAGAACTACAGGGTGAAGAGGAAATTAGAACCCTCAAAGGCAAGGCCAACAGTACCGAAAGGAAGACAAACTGATGTGACTCAAGTGGAGGGGATGTGCTCAAACGCAGATGAGAGCAGAAGCCAGAACACTGACAGGAGCGGGAGAGGAGCTCTCAGGTGACGACATCCTAACGGGAAAGTTGGGCTAAGAAAAATACAAGCACCAAACAAAAGACATCTCAGTACCCAACAATGAGGCAAAATTTGTGTTAACATCTAGACAAAAGAAGCTACATACAATATTATAAGAAGCCTAGGTTTTTAAAAATCAGCTCAAGATAAATACAGATAACTGATTCAAGAAGCTTGAAAAGCAAGAAATGAAGATTGTTATAAACAAGGAAGATACTTAATTAGGCAGGAAACTCCATCAAGGTGCTCTTCATACACATTTTCAAACCTGCATCTCAAGGCAAGATTCCCAGAATCAGAATTTTGCTAAGTGGTGGTCACAGGGACTTCCCTGGCGGAGCAGTGGTTAAAACCCTGTGAAGGGGACACAGGTTTGATCCCTGGCTGGGGAAGGAAGGTTCTGTATGCCCCATGGTGCAGTCGAAATATAATAAAAATTATTTTTTAAATGTGCCAGCAGTTCTTGTGTCTGCTGAGGTGCTTTAAAAAAAAAAATTACTATTCAAAAAAAAAAAAAAAAAAAAAAGGTGGTCACAGCTCCTATAAGACTGGTTGCTCGTTGAGTTTAATGTCTGGCTCTAATATCACCTTAACTTTGAGGTTCAAAGTTTCTATTCAGCAAAAGTCATGGATATACACATATCTCTGAGGATATCTGCCTAGGTAAAGCATCTGCCTACATTGTGGGAGACCTGGGTTCAATCCCTGGGTCGGGAAGATCCCCTGGAGAAGGAAATGACAACCTACTCCAGTACTCTTGCCTGGAAAATCCCATGGATGGAGGAGCCTGGGTGGGCTACAGTCCATAGGGTTGCAAAGAGTCAGACACGACTGAGCCACTTCACTTCTAAAGATATCTATACTCAAAATAATGCTGAAAACACTGTACTGGAATACTGAAACAATGGAATCTTTTAAACATCACTTTAGTCACCAATTATACTGATGTTTTAATAAACACAGACACCCATGGAACCTCTACCACAACTGAAAGCACATTCATCACCCAGAAAAGTTCCCTCAGGCTTCTCACTTGGACCCAAGGCCCCTCATTCTAGGAAACACTGATCTTCTCTCTGTCGCAGAGAGGGGGTTTGCCTTTTCCTACCATTTCATATAAATGGAATCACACAATATGTGCCTGGCTTCTTCCACTCAGTATGTCTTTGACTGACCCATGTCAATGCGTGTATTAACAGGCTATTCCTTCTCACTGCTGAGTAGTATTCCAACACAGTGTCAAACAACAGAATGTCTCTTACATGTCATGGTTATCTATGTAATCAAACTATACATAGAATGTTTCATAATTTTTCTAAGAACACAGATTCATAAAAGATAAAGAACAGATAAAGCACTGCAAATCAACTGCAATTAAAAAAAAGAGAAAAAAATACCTAAAAGGAAAAAAATGGATAAAGCAAGTAAGTCCCAGATTTTGCAGACACTAAGTAATCAAAAACAGTTGGTTATTTATACTATGCAAAATGTCTTAATATTTAGAAGTATATAATAATAGTATGAAATCAGAAATATTTCCCTTCATGTTTATTTTTGTTTTATCTTTACTTTGGGGGTTCTCCTTAATTCAATTCATATTTTACTAAGCTTCCAGGTTCTTATCAATAAAACAGAAATCAAACAGCCTATGAAGTTAACTATTACAAACCTCATGGGGAATAAGTACAGAAACTAGCACTGAATCTGCTTTATGTCATGGAAAATAGTTTTACTAATCCTCACAGAAATCAGTATAGAAGTTTACGAAGCAAAGCAGAAACTTAATAAGCACATAATATCTAACACTATTATCAAACATTGATAAAACTGGACTTTAGGATTAAATACAGCTTTAAACATCATAGGAAAAAAGATACTTTCTTGCATAAAGAAGACATATCCAAAGGGAAAAGAAAAACATGACAAAATTCTAAACACTAATCATAAACTTGATATAAAATACTTGACCAGATCTCAAGGCCTATACTCCGGTAGGTTTTTATTCTCAGATCATAAAGACATGGGTTAGTTATTTCAGAATGGGCCAAATCCTGACATTTCCTTATCATTCAGAGGGTGGTAAGGTCAACGTCACAGTACAGTGGATAGTACAGTAAAAAATGTGTGTGTGTTAGTCTCTCAGTCATGTCGACTTTTTGCCACCCCATGGACTGTAGCCTGCCAGGCTCCTCTGTCCATGGAATTCTCTAGGCAAAAATACTGGAGTAGGTTGCCATTCCCTTCTCCAGGGGATCTTCCTGACCCAAGGTTAGAACCTGGATCTCCTGCATTGCATGCAGATTCTCAGATGAGAATTGTAGCCCTGGCTGACACGTTGGTTTCTGCCTGTAAGACCCTGAGCAGGGGATCCACTATCCATGCCCACACTCCTGAGACAACTTAAGGCACATGGTTGTGCCTTAAGCCATGGAGTTTGTGTTCATTTATTGCACAGCAGTAAAAAATGACTGTATACGATTATTATGTAGTATCACGTGAGCCACCAGGGAAGACCATGTCTACATAAAACAGAGAAACTTTTATTCAAATCATAAATTTTAGGGAAAAAGAAACAAGTAAGAATGGTAATCAATTCTAGTTAATATCTACTTGGTGCCTAAACACCAAGTTTATTGAGATGGTTCCCAGGAAGTCAGTTTAAAGACCTTAAGTAATAGTTGTGGGTTATGTGAATTAAAAATTACAATACAGAGGAATAATAGTATATATTCATTTATTACTGCTGTGCCATAAATGACCACAAACTCCATGGCTTAAGGCACACCCATGTGCCTAAGTTGTCTCAGGAGTGTGCGCATGGATAGCAGGTCCCCTGTTCAGAGTCTTACCAGGCAGAAACCAAGGTGTCAACCAGGGCTGCAATTCTCATCTGAGGCTCAGGAACCTATTCTGAGCTCACTGGTTCCTGGCAGAATTTATTTCCTTGTGCTGTCATAGCTAAGTTTACCACGTTCTTGCTGGCTGTTGGTCAGAGAGCCAGCAGACGATCTCCCAGAGAATCCCAATACTTTCTTGCCATGTGAACAAGGGCTTTTTTCCAGGCCAGCAGAAGCTGTCCCCCTAACCTTCTAACCTTTCAGCCTGCCATGAGGGAGTCTTATAATAAAGCAGTGACGGGACCACAGGAGTGAATATCGCATCAGCAATGCCATGGGACACAGCCTGACCAAGGCGGCTGCTACACTCCAAATTCAGTCTCCCCCACACTCCAGGGGAGGGGAGAGCATTAGGTGTAATACCTGGAGTCAAGAATTTGTGGGCCACCTTAGAATTCAGCCTACCACAGATTTGGAAAGGATGCTGTGAGTGCAAGAGAGAAAAGGCAAAATTCAGACTGGCAGAACAAAGAAAGGAAAAGGAAGTTAACAGGTGAGCCCTTTAGAGTCAACCTCTGGGCACTGCTCTTGAAATTTTTCTTTTAAATGAAGAAATTAAGGCTCAGAAAAGTGAAGTAACTTGCCTAAGGTTATACAGTCTGGATCTGCCTAAAGAAAATGTCTGAACTAACCTATCTAGGTCCATGACTAGCTGGGTCACTGGTCATCTAAGTAAATGCTTGGAGTGGGGAGTGGGAGTAGGGAGGGTGGGCAGGCAGGGGCCATTAGGTGAAGAGAATACAAGTGTGGGGACACAGCTGCAGCAGCCATGTGCAGTGGGGAGATTGCGGTCTGGTCCTCAGCTCTGTGTGACTAGAGCACAGAGCCAGGTGTGTGATTTTAAAAAGATGGTGTAGGAATGGTGAATCACAGCCTTCTCAGCAAACTTTTTAAGCAATTTTAACTGTCACAGATGAATTATCAGTACAAGTTACATAAATATGTGCAGGAAAACTAAGAAGTCCTAACAGATGCTGAAGAACTCTAGTAGAAACAAGCCAAGTGTATACATTTCACAGAGCAGGGTGAAACCCGAGTTAAAGAGCAGCAGTGTACATGCACGGGTACCCAAGACCTACCTTCATTTCACCGCTTCCACCAGCACTCAGCACATTTCTCCAGCCTTGTTCCCTGGCCCTATTTATTCTCTCCAACTTTGAGGGGAAAGAAACATATAAAAAACCATTTCAAGTATTTAATATAAAGCACATGAAATATACTTAGTAATAAAATGGAAACCAGTGTATTCCTTTAAAAAAGGGGGGGCATGTGTGTGGGGAGGTGGTGGAGCATGCTGGGGAAAATGGGACGATCCTCTCACCCTTTCCTTTTCCTGTCTTTTCACCTGCTCAGCCTTCAGCAGACTAACCTGCAATAATTTTAAAGACAAACTTCTTAGAACTCTTAAAACAATTATCATCTCCAACTTGGCTGGAAAAGAAAAATAACAGTGAAATAACTACCTGATCCTTAGGTTTCTTTTCTTTTTCAGTCAATTCCAATCTTCTTTTTCTTGGTGCTTCCTTAAATTAAAAAAATATATATTTATCAATAATAAATACTACTTTTTCTAGCTTAATCAGTAAAGTTAGCATACCGATGGTAGACGTATCCTGGAAGGTTTAAAAACAGAAATAAGTTAGAGGTAATTGTTTGAAAGAAATAAGGAGGAAAGGTTTGGAGGTTTTATAAAATTTGTTTCTTTTTTCATTAATTAGTTTTACAAAGCTGTAAAATAAGCAGACAGATGTCTTTATACCTCAAACAGTTTCCTCCTTTCTTCTCCAGGATTCACTTTCTTCAGTGGGGTTTGATGGGCCTGGACAGAAAGTAAAACTACAAATTAGATATGGATTTTGAGGTATCCATTTGAAAAATTCAAATGTATGGAAATTTAAAATAAGAAAAAAGTAAAGCCAATACTGCCATAACTCTCTTTCAAAATACATCATCCCTCAAAAAAAAAAGGAACCACTTAAGTGTCTGATACACTATTTGTTCAAAAAAGAGAAACACGGGATCCAAAGAAATCATTCAGTAAAAAGTGTACTCAGATAGAGATGCTAACTGTAAGTTCGCTAACGTTATAAAAACAGAATGTCATATAGAAAGCCCAACTCTGAAGAAATTTTTCTTTAAAAAAAAAAAATGAAATAAGAGTTAACACTTAACTTCTCTCCCCACCTCCAGATATAACCATTGTTAATATTTTCCTAAGTATCCTTTCAGAGACTGTTTTATGAACATGAATACACACATAACTATATACATGTATATATATATACACACAGTCTTAGCTTTTTATACTTTTTACATAAATATAGTAAATAATGTGTTATGATGGAAAAATGTTTTTCACTATTAACAATGCTCCCTGACATTTCCACATTGTGGTAAACAATTTAACAATGGTTTTATTCCAAACCATGGATATAATTAATTTATTCAACTATTCTTGAAGGAAGGACATTGGGTTGGTTCCAATTTTCCCCCATACTGTTAGAAACATTCTTGTAGGTACATTTTGTATCATATGTAAGTCTTTCAGAAGGGCAATTTGTAGATGGAATCATAAAGTAATAATGAAATTAAAGTGTTGAGAAAAACTGCCACCTCAAGAAGCTGCATCAACTAATATTCCCATCAAGGAATTCATTTTCTCATAACATCACAAATAGTGAGCATTATCAATGTCTTAAAATTTTAATATCTGGAAAGACTAAGTATACTTTCCAGTATATTAGATAATTACATTTCTTCTTTAATACACTAATTGTTCGTCTTATTTTATAGTTGCTCTAATTTTATGGGCTATTTGCATGTTATGAAAAATAAAGAGCATTTTAGATTTGCAAATTTTTTTTACATTTTGTCTTTGAACAGCTGTTTGTTGTATCTTAAACTGTACAGAAGTCTGTAATGTATATAGTTAAATCTGCCAGTCATTTCCTTTATGATATTGGCATAAACTATTTTACTAAAGACATTTCAGACCTCATTTGCTTCTGCCACTTGGATAGTTTCATTTTTATATTCAGAATTTATATATAATCTAACTTAAACTTAGATTTTAAAATATTAAAGTTAGATTTTTATTTTTAGATTTATCTGGAATAAATTTTTGTTCATGGAATGAATTGGGAATCTAATGATTTTCTCTGGAAAATCCAGTTATCTCATAACCATTTCTTGGCTGATACATCTTTTTCCAGAATGGTCTGAAATGCCTCATTAAGCACATAATAAATTCAAATACACAGTAATCACACAATAAATTCAAATTTCTGGAATTCTCCATGTCATCTATCCATCTTCTTTTTTTTTAAACTATGATATAAAGCCACCTATAAAAAAGTAGATAAAGGAGATACACAGAGGTCCACAAAAATAAAGGAAAAACCCAGTAACTACTACCCAACTCAAGAAACAGAATATTGTCAACACACAGAAACCCTCCACATGTCCTTCCACAAGACAGCCAGCCACCATCCCCACTTTACTAATCACTACCTGACTTGTCTCTGTTGCTTTCCCACTTGAATACATGTTCCTAAACAATATAGTTTTGTTTTTTTTTAATGTTCTGATTTCTATATAAATGGAATCATACAACATATATTCCTCTGTATCTCACTTCTGTTGTTCTACACTATTTTCAGAATAACCCTTGTTATTACGCTTATTTATCGGCATTTGCTTTCTTCATTGATAAATAACATTCCACTGATGTGGAGTCCTTTCTTGCACAGTTATCCTGCACTTTTCACAGCAGGGCTATCCTATAGTAATTGAGGGAGTGCCTATTTCCTTTTCTAATTATTCACTGTCACATGCTCAACTTCTATCAGGCTATGTCACTGAATCATTAACAGTGTTCTGCTGCTTCAATAGGATTCTCTAGGTAGGGAATCATATCTGTAAATGTCTGTATTTTCTCATCTCTCCCAATATTTATATTTCTTATTTCTTTCTCTCTTTAATTTCATGGGCTAGGCTTCTGGAATAACATCATATAACAGCATCATTACAAACATCTTTGTCTTGTTCCTAACTTTAATGTAAATGCTTCCAACTTTTCATCATTATGTATAATGCCTGATGTAGGTTTCTGGTATATATAACTGGGTCAAGTTAAGAATTTTCACCTCTATTTCTTGAATCAAAGAAATTTGAATTTTTTTCAAAAACCACTTTACTGAGGTATGAGGGACATACAAAAAGTTATACAAGGTTAATGTAAACAACCAAATAAGTTTTTATAAAGAGTTAAATTCTACTGAACTTTCAGTATCTGAGATAATTCATATGTGATTTTTTTCCTCTAATCTACTAACAGTGAAATTAACCAGTTTCCTACTGTTGAACCATCTTTCCACTCCTGAAATGTATCCTATTTAGTAAGTTTTGAATTACTCTTTTGATAAATTGCTTGATTTAACTTTTTTAAAAAACACTTTTAAGGATTTCTGCATGTGTGCTCCTAAGTATAAATGACCCATGAATTTCTTTCTTTTATATCCTGTGCTAGCTACTCAATTTTGTGATCAACATCCCCTACTACAGGGGAAAATTTTTCAAACAATTCAAAGTATAGTTCTAAATATACCAAAAACAGATTAAAAGTATTTACAGAAAACTCTTAAGTTATGTATCATACATCAGTTTTTAAATTTTCCAGCTACCTTAGGAAAAAATATATAAAAAGAAACACTGTATAAAAACATTCACCTGTTAGGTTTCAATTCAAAGGAAAGGAAATGTTACTTTAAAAAGTTATTTCAGTGATCATTTACATTATTATAAAAATAACTCAGCATTTGATTAAATCAGCAAATTATCTCCACTAACAATTCCATTTCAGTAGTGGCTGTATTTTGACAAAAGTCAATGTTATAAAAAATTACTTTCATTTGCTACTTACTGCTTCAATTTCCTAAATTTTTTAAAATGACTACAACAGATAAGCACTAAAACTCTAAAAGTGAATTCAGAATAATATAAAAAAATATGATCCACAATCAATATGAAGTTAATAAAATTCATCAAATTAATCCCAACATATCACTGTTAAGATATATTGTATAGCTCACAACATACAAAAAAGAAGTAGAAAGTGATCAAAAGTTTTCTTTCACTAAAACAAAAAAGATATTTAAAATTTCTGCCCACTTTAGAAAGCAACATGAGAGGGGTGGCTGAAGTGAGAGACTGGGGTTGACATGTACACACTACTGATGCTGCTGCTGCTAAGTCACTTCAGTTGTGTCGGACTCTGCGACCCCCCATAGATGGAAGCCCATGAGGCTCCTCCGTCCCTGGGATTCTCCAGGCAAGGATTCTGGAGTGGGATGCCATTTCCTTCTCCAATGCATGCATGCATACTAAGTTGCTTCAGTCGTGTCCGACTCTGTGTGACCCTATGGACAGCAGCCTACCAGGCTCCTCTGTCCACAGGATTCTCTAGGTAAGAACACTAGAGTGGGTTGCCATGTCCTTCTCCAGCATGCACACACTACTATGTATAAAACAGATAACAGTAAGAACCTATGGTCTAGCACAGGAAACTCTCCTCAATGCTCTGTGGTGATCTAAATGGGAAGGAAACCCAAAAAAGGGGACTAATGCATACAAAAAGCTGATTCACTTTGTTGTATAGCAGAAACTAACACAGCATTGTAAAGCAACTATACGCCAATAAAAATTTATTTAAAAAAAAGAAAGCAACATGATACACGATTTCAACATAACTTCCTCCTTAGGAAATGCAATTAATTTAATGAATACATTATTTAACTTGAGCACAATAAAATGATGGTATTTAAACTATGTGATACCATCAAATGGGTTGATAAACTGGTAAGAGGAGAATAATGATTTTCTTATACTGTGTTTTGTCATTTTAATTAAATGACCATCATAAAATATCCATTTTATAGATGTTTTAACTCAAAGTTACATTAGCAATGTGATAACTGGTATTAAATCTCACACAATGACTATTAATAAATAGTAGCTTTGCTCCCTGACAAAATGACAGAAGCAGCAGGTTCTCAGAACTATATGACCTCCTCCCTGTGTTATTAGATCCCAACTCCTAACCAAACTTAGGCTAGTTATTTCAATTTTCACTTAAGCCAACCATGTATCTCACCACCTAACCCCATTAACACTAGGGTTAATGAGATGACAATAATACTGAAATACTTAAAGAACAGAAGCTTTCTAACTTTTTCTAAAAGCAACCCACAGTAAGAAAGATAGTTCACATTCAGACCAATAAAGATACACACACACATTCCATAAAATACTTTTACTGTGTGTAATTGAGTCTGTTAATTTCCATTCTATTACTTAAAAAAAAAGTCCCCCCTCCTCACTCACTAAAATGATTATGCCATACACACTGAGGAAACCAGATCTGAAAGAGACATGTGCACCCCAATGTTCACTGCAGCACTATTTATAATAGCCAGGACATGGAAGCAACCTAGATGCCCATCAGCAGACGAATGGATGAGGAAGCTGTGGTACATGTACACCATGGAATATTACTCAGCCATTAAAAAGAATTCATTTGAATCAGTTCTAATGAGATGGATGAAACTGGAGCCCATCATACAGAGTGAAGTAAGCCAGAAAGATAAAGACCAATACAGCATACTAACGCATATATATGGAATTTAGAAAGATGGTAACGATAACCCTATATGCAAAACAGAAAAAGAGACACAGATGTACAGAACAGAATTTTGGACTCTGTGGGAGAAGGCGAGGGTGGGATGTTTTGAGAGAACAGCATGTATATTATCTATGGTGAAA